TATCCTTCTGATAATCATTGTGTGTCAGTAGCCTCTCCCTTTGAAAGTTTTGGTGATCCTCGCGTTTGGGTGGCTCAGTCGGTTGGGGGTCCAGCCCTTGATTTCAGCTCAGGTCATGATCTCACAGTTCATGAGTTCCAGCCCCGTGTCGGGCTCTGTGCTAACAGTGCAGAGCCTGCCTAAGATTCTCTCTGTCCTCTCTCTCTCTCCCCGACTTGTGCATGTGTCCTCTCTCATAATAAACTTAAAAATATTTTTTTGGTGTTCAAAACCCTCTCTAATCTCAATTCATCTTCCACCTCTCATTCATTCATTCAACAAACACATTCTGTGTGCCAGGTTCTGTGTGAGACACGGGGGCTTGGAGATCAAAAAGATAAACTATCCATATGCAGTTGTTGCCCCTCTTATCCATGGTCTCATCTTCCCGGGTTTCACTTACCTGCAGTCAACCTTGATCTGGAAGTAGATGATCCTCCTTCTGACCTATAGTTAGAAGTAGCAAGTAGCCTAATATTAGGTCATCGTGTCCACGTCATTCACCTCCCTTCATCTTACCATGTGGGCATTTTATTTCAGATCCTCACAAGAAGAGGGGTGACTACAGTATAAAATATTTTAAGAGAGGCCACATTCACATAACTTTTCTGGCATGTGTTGTAATTGTACTTTATTATTAGTTATTAATCTCTCACTGAGCCTAATTTATAAATTAAGTTTTATCATAGGTATATGTAGGGGAAGAGCATAGCATATATAGCATTTGGTGCTTTCTGTGGTTTAGGTGCATCCACTGAGGGTCTTGTGAGGGTCTCGTGAATAAGGGGGACCACTATATTTTCATCATTAATCAAAATGGACCAATCACCATCCCAAATATGTTTTTTTTTTTTCTTCCAAATATGTTTTATGGTGATTTCACACCCTAGAAAAGCCCCTTTCATTTGCTTGGTAAACTTTGCCTGTCCTTCATGATGTAGTTTAAGGGTCCTTCCCAGGGAAAGAATTCTGTCCCACCTCAAAACAAAATTGTCACTTGACTTCTGTAGCTCTTTGTATTCCACTTTCATATTAAGCAAGCAACAGTCCATAATAGAAAATTCTCATTCTCATAGCTGAAGGAGTATTCTCAGAGAGAGTGGATTCTCCAGACCTAGACAGTGGATAACAGAGTGAGATTTGAACCCTGTCTGTGAGGCTCTGAAGCCTGGGTCTCCCACGAGGAGGGGGCAGGACAGACTGTGTGGGAGCTGGATCTTTAGACCCAGAGACTGGCTTTTCCAGGTGGTGTGTGACATTGAGCAACTCTCAAGATTTCAGAGCCCTCATTTGTAAAATGATAATTTGACCTCTTTCTGCTGCAAGTGAGATGTAAATATGAAAGTGCTCTGAAGTTGGTTTTCCCCAGTTAACACAAAGAGCATTATGTCAGTACCAGAAGCTTTATGAAGTTGTAACCATAGCATAGAAACAGTTTTGTTTTCTGTATAAAACTTTTTAACTGAAGTAGGTACATAGAGTTCATTACACTGTTCTTTCTACTTGAGTGCATGCTTGAAATTTTCCACCGAAGGGGGTTTGTGAAAAAGGTTTGTGAAAAAGGCTTTCCGCTTACAAGGTACCATGTAATTATAAGTGATGTAACTATCATAATAATTGTTTCTGGAGTTGTCTTCCTCAGCTTCCAGATGTTTGTTTTCCTGAAGGCAGTAAGTGCCCTCCCCCTCGGCGTGTCTCCGCAGTGATGACATGGCAGACTGTGTGAGTGTGGAGACCAGTACAGTTCTTGTTAAGTGACGCTTTGAGGCCCAGGTCAGAGGATCGGCCTCCAGGCAGGAGCCACCTTAGAAAGGTGCCCTTCTGCTGTTTCAGTAACTAAATCCTGATGACAGGGGGCCACAGTGGATTTGCTACAGATACAGTTTCTCTCTGCAGTAAAATTGTGTTACAACTCAGCTTCCAGAAGCGATGCCAGAGAACATTCCTTATGTGTGTTTTTAAAATTAGTTTTTGAATAGGTAATATGTGCACATGATAAGGAAGTTTTACTGTGTCCAGCTCCTCTCCCCCCCCCCCCAACACAGTCAGGGTCCCCAGACTCTGGGTCACCTTCCAGAGGCAGTCTAAATTGATAGGACATATAGATCTTTTGTCCACATAGTTTGACATTTTTCTCCCCCCGCCCCCTTGTGTCTTGTTGAGTGCTGTTGGTGCTAACAGAGCTGCTGCCTCAGTCTGCACACACATCCTATAATTTATGTAACTCTCTTCCTATTGATGGACATTTAGATTGTGATACCACAAACTTAGAGGAAACAAATTTGACAACAAATATCTTTATAGATAGTAGATAGTTCTTGTATACATATATAAATCAACTCCCCCCTGCAGGGTGCAGGCATGCAGTTTCATGCTCACTCTTGACAATACGGAGGATCCACACTTTTTGATCTTTGCCAGTCATATAGGCACAGATGGTCCCCAAGTTACCTTGGTTTGATTTACGATTTTTTGACTTTGTGATGGCATGAATAAGTATTCAGTGGAAACCATACTTCAGATTTTGAATTTGGACTTTTTCCGGGGCTAGCGATGTGCCCTACGGTACCCTCTCGTGACGCTGGGCTGTAGCGGCAGCCCCAGCTCCTCATATGTCACACAGGCACAAAGGTCAACAACTGATATGGCCATTCTGTACCCAGGCTACCCTTCTGTTGTTCACTTTCGGTACTGTACTCAGTAAATGACGTGAGATAGTCAGCACTTTCTTACAGGCTTGTTGTCAGAGGATTTAGCCCAACCTCAGGCTCTTGTCAGTGTTCTGAGCACATGTAAGATAGGCTAGGTCGAGTGATGCTCGATAAGGGATATTAAATGCATTTTCTGCTTAGGTTATTTTCAACTTAGGATAGGTTTTCAGGATGTAACCCCAGCATAAGCTGAAGATCTGTTTAATGTTTTCATCTGTACCCTCACTTAATGTGTTTAAAACCCATTTGTTCGGGAGTGGCCACAGAGGCATTCAGGTTTTCTTTTTGGGGCGATGAAAATGTTGTCGAATTAGATTATGGTGATGGTCACTCAATTTTGTCGAATATACTAAAAACCACTGAATTGTACACTTAAAAAATTTTTTTTAATGTTTTATTTTTGTTTTTGAGAGAGAGAAAGACAGTGTGAGCAGGGGAGGGTCAGAGAGAGAGACACAGAATCCGAAGACAGGCCCCAGGCTCTGAGCTAGCTGTCAGCACAGAGCCCGCCACGGGGCTCGAACCCACAAACCATGAGATCACGACCTGAGCCGAAGTCCGACACTTAACCTACTGGGCCACCCAGACGCCCCTGAATTGTACATTTAAAAGGGTGAATTTTGTTCTTCCTGAGGCTGCTATGTAAAAAAACGTTCCTCTTTTCTGCAAACTGACTTCCTTTGTTTTTCTGTTGCTCCTTTTCTTCCAGGAAACTGTTTTCAGTCTTTGTTGTGTTATATGCATTTTCCCCTCTGTTGGCCATTTTTGCTCTTTTGCTCTTGCTTCCTTGATTTTGCTCTTTTTTTAGCCACGTGGAAATTTTTCATGTTTATATTTCCTCTTTTTTTATATATTTAAATGTTTGATTTAGTTGGGATTTATATTGCCATAAATTAGGAGAAAGGGATGTAGTTTTTCTCTCAGACAATATCCAATTTTCCTCATACTATTTTTTTAAAAAATAATCCATTGTACCCCAGTGATTTAAGATTACAGTTTTATCCTATATTAACTTATTTTATGTATGAGTCTAATTTCTGGACTCTTGATTCTGCTCCATTGTTCTGGTTGTTTTCTTGTGCTTCTACCACACTTTATAATTAATTATAAAGGTTTAGTCTGGGTTTTCTTGTTTGCAAAGTTTTCCCAATCAAAAGAAAATTTTTTGCTCCAATCATTCTTGATTATTTTCCCCTAAAGAACTTTAGAAACAGCATTTAAGGGTTTAAGAATACTATTGAGGGGTGCCTGGGTGGCTCAGTCAGTTGAACGTCCAGTTCAGCTCAGGTTATAATAGTTTGTGAGTTTGAACCCCACATTGAGTTCTGCGCTGTTATCATGGAGCCTGCTTGGAATTCTCTCTCTCTCTCTCAAAAATAAACATTAAAAAAATGGAATACTACTGATAGTTTATGGTTATTATATTAATTTATAGATGGACTTATGTAAACTGATTATTTTACCCATTCTTTCCTATTATTATTATTATTTTTTGTATTATGTCTGCTCCTGCCTTCAGACCAATGTTAAATAATAGTGATTATGGTAGAAATTCTCAGATGCCTCCTTGTGTTTAATAGGCATGCTTTGGGCATCGTGTATTAATGTTTGTAAGTGAAATTATTCTGTATGGTTCTTTTGGTTTCTCCTCCCATGTTTGGCTTTGTTCTCTAGAAATAATTTCCAAACTTCCTTTTTAATTTTTTTACTCTGTGGAACAATTTCAATACCATTGGTTTTACTTAAACGTTTGGTGGTAGAATTCACCTGTGAAATTGAATGGGCCCCTTAACTTTTGGGGGGTAGTTTTCAGAGACTTCTACTTCTTTCTTTATTTTTTTAAGTTTATTTATTTCTTTTGGTAGAGAGAGAGAGAGCAAGAGCACGCACCTGTGAGCATGAGCAGGGGAGGGAGAGAGAGAATTCCAAGTAGGCTCCATGCTGTTAGCACAGAACCTAACTCGGGCTCAGCATCATGAACCTGTGAGATCATGACCTAAGCCAAGATCTAGAGTTGGATGCTTAACTGACTGAGCCACCCAGGTGCCCCAAGACTTATTTTACTTCTAATGTAATCAGTCTTTTTTCTCTTTTGGGGCCAGTTTTCCTGTTTTCCTTGAAAATTAAACCTTATGGAAGTTTTTGGGTAGTCACCTATGGATAGGCTCTAGTATTCTTCTAGTTCTCTTAACCTTTCTCGGTGTCTTATTTTGTGTTCTTCATATTGACTTTTTTTGTTCTTTCCTACAGGTACCGGAAATATAGTGGTCATTATGGTTAGCTACCCTAAAGGAAGAGAAATTTTGGATCTGGTGCAGAAAGGCATTGCGGTGAAAATGACCATAGGAGTCGGCACCCGTCACGTGCAGGAATTCATCAGTGGTCAGTCTGTGGTATTTGTGGCCATTGCCTTTATCACCATGATGATTATCTCATTAGCCTGGCTGATATTTTACTACATACAGCGTTTCCTATATACTGGCTCACAGTTTGGAAGTCAGGTAATTATGCATAATTCTTTTTAACTTTGCTTTTTAAAAGAGAGCTCATAAATATTTCTCCTATGTATTGCCTTTAAGTTCTATTTGAGAGTGTTGTTTTTTTGGGCGGGGGGAAGGAGGGACTATATTCTTATTTTCATTTTCACTCATACTGTTTAATTAATATATAATTTTTTGAAGATAGCTTTTTAATTAGAGCATATTAAATTTTCTGTTCTGTAAGATATTAAATACCTTTAAATGGGGTCACTTTTTGCATGTTTTGCTCCTACAGATACCCTCTTTGCCTTTTTCAGACATAAAGGAGTGATAAATCAGCCTGTGGTAGAATGGACATGGTTCTGTGTTTAATTTTTTTTTTTTAATTTTTTTTTTTAAGGTTTTTTTTATTTATTTCTAGAGAGAGAGAGTGAGCAGGGGAGGGTCAGAGAGAGAGGGAGTCACAGACTGAAACAGGCTCCAGGCTCTGAGCTGGCAGTCAGCACAGAGCCCGACGCGGGGCTCGAACCCACAAACCGTGAGATCATGACCTAAGCGAAAGTCGGACGCTTAACCGACTAAGCCACCCAGGCGCCCCTTTTTTTATTTCTTTTTTTAATTTTTTTTTTTTTTAACATGGTTCTGTGTTTAAAATAAAGTGAACCCTGGGCCTGAAGGCAAGGAGCAGAGTGGGAGGGCCTTCCCGGCTTCCCCTGTGGGGCAGCTTTCAAGGCCATTTATCTGCAGAGAGACAGTGTCTTTGTCACCACAGAGAGGAGGCCAGTCAGAGATCCAGAGGCTTCCAAAGACAGGCCTAATTGGTTTCTTCCTCAGACATGGAATTGAAAATCAGTATTCTTTTTTATTTTTTTAATTTTTATTTAAAAAACTTTTAATATTTATTTATTTTTAAGAATTTTTAAAAAATAGTTTATTGTCAAGTTGGTTTCCATATAACACCCAGTGCTCATCCCCACAAGCACCCTCCTCCATGCCCATCACCCCCCTACCCCTCTCCCCCACCCCCGTCAGCCCTCAGTTTGTTCTCAGCATTCAAGAGAGTCTCATGGTTTGCCTCCCTCCCTCTCCCCAACTATTTTTCCCCTTCTTTCCCCCCATGGTCCTCCGTTAAGTTCCTCCTAATCCTCCTATACGTGCAAACATGATATTTGTCCTTCTCTGCGTGACTTATTTCGCTCAGCATAACACCCTCAAGATCCATCCATGTTGCTACACATGGCCAGATTTCATTCTTTCTCATTGCCATGTAGTATCCCATGGTATAGATAAACCACATTTTCTTGATCCATTCGTCAGTTGATAGACACTTAGGCTCTTTCCATGTTTTGGCTATTGTGGAGAGTGCTGCTATGAACATTGGGGTGCATGTGCCCCTGTGCATCAGCACTCCTGTATCCCTTGGGTAAATTCCTTTTTCTTTTTTAAAATATTTTTTATAGTTTATTGTCAAGTTGGTTTACATAATAACACCCAATGCTCATCCCCACAGGTGCCCTCCTCCATGCCCATCACCCCCCTTCCTCTCTCCCCCACCCTCCCCAGCCATCAGTTTGTTCTCAGCAAATAAAAAAATAAACTTTTTTAATTTATTTTTGAGAGAGAGACAGAGCACTAGAGGGGGGAGGGGCAGAGAGAGAGGGAGACACAGAATCCGAAGCAGACTCCAGGCTCTGAGCTATCAGCGCAGAGCCTGATGCGGGGCTTTAACTCACAAACCATAAGATCATGACCTGAGCTGAAGTCGGATGCTCAACCGACTGAGCCACCCGGGTGCCCGGAAAATCAGTATTCTTGATCAAACATCTCTTAAGTTATATATGGCTATTTTATACATTAGATGTAAATGGTAATTTTTGTTAGGTTATTTTCATTGTAGTCATTTAACGTTTTTTTAAATGAAATTTTTTCTATAAGCTTATGTGAATTTTTAAACACAGTGACTTAAAATTTTTAATGATAATGTTTTTCATACCTAAGAGTCACAGAAAAGAAGCTAAGAAAATTATTGGCCAACTTCCACTTCATACTGTAAAGCATGGAGAAAAGGTAATATATTCATGGTTTTTTGTTTGTTTCTTTTAAAGCATGTATTTATATGTCTAAGTAAAACTTTTCTAATATGTTAAACTCACATTGAGCATGTGGAGTTTTGACTGGTTTGAGTTAGAACTAACTTGCATACATGTTTCATTTTGGAGAAGAGTTGGCAGAAATATTCTGTTGCATATGAGAAGAGCCTTCCAGACCTGTGCCAGCAGATAGGGTGGCCTTTAATCATATACAGGTATTTTAATTTAAAAGAATGAAATTGAAATTACAGTTCAGTTTCTGAATCATACTAGCTATATTCCAGATACTCAAATGGCCCCATTGGCTGGTTGCTACCATACTGGACAGACATGTCCATTCCCTGAGAAAGTTCTTCTGTTGGTCAGACCCAGATGACTCTAAGGAACCTAAAGAATTTCAAGTTCCATTAGACCATAGACCTTTGATACTTTAAATTCATTTCTATTAAATCTGAGGCTATATATCCATTGTCTCTGATTCCCTTAACTGCAGGGAAAAAATGCTGAGATTTGTGGAGAGGGGGAAAGCAGATGTACTTAAAACTACTTTTTAAAAAAAGAAAACATTTTGACATGGCCAACCTGAGACTTTAAAGCTCAAAATCATACCAGAGTCTTAAAGCATTTTTGGCATAGGACAGATCCTAAATCTAGAGTCTCAGATTCTTAGAGGATTAATTCTTTAAAAAGGAAAACAGTTGCTAATGCAGTAGTATTTATTTTTTTATTAGTCTGTCTTTGCTGTGAAGGGTGGATAATTGTGTTGACTTGTTGGTTGACTTGGTTGGTTTCATTGTTTTTTGTTTTTGTTTTTAAAGGTTCATTCATTTTTCAGAGACAGACAGAGCATGAGTGGGGGAGGAGCAGAGAGAGAGAGAGGGAGACACAGAATTCGAAGTAGGCTTCATGCTCGGAGCTGTCAGCACAGAACCCGATGTGGGGCTCGAACTTACGGACCGCGAGATCATGAAGTTGGACGCTTTACTGACTGAGCCACCCAGGCGCCCCCTACATTTAGTTATTTTAAAACCAATGCTAACAAGTTAATTAGATATGGCCACTAGTATTTTTATTTTCCTATTGAAATTTTATTTTTTAAATGTTTATTTACTTGAGAGAGAGAGAGAGCGTGAGCAGGAGAGGGGCAGAGAGAGAGAGACACAGAGTCAGAAGCAGGCTCCAGGCTCTGAGCTGTCAGCAGAGAGCCCGATGTGGGGCTCAAACACATGGACCACGAGATCATGACCTGAGCTCGGGTACTCTGAGCCACCCAAGCGTCCCCCCATTTTTTTCTTTTATCTCACCACATTGTTGAAATTTCATTTATTTCACCCTCCACTCCCCTTCAAAAATAAAAAGAAAGAATAATCACACTTATTGTATATATCTCTTCCTCTGACTAACTTAAAGGTTTAAATAAATAATACTCATTAGGGGCCCCTGGCTGCGTTAGCCGGTGCAGCGCATGACTCTTGATCTCAGGACTATAGAGTAGAGCCCACACTGGATGTAGAGATTACTTAAAAATAAAATCTTAAAAAAAGAAGAAGAAATAACACTAAACATAGACCTTTGATTTTTTTTTTAAAAAAAAACTTTGGATTCTGATATTAATGGGTTATTTAGAATATTAATATGGAAATACTATTGGAATTACATCATTGGCTGCCATTCTTTCCCTTATGCCTTAAACAGAAGTAGCAGTTGAATTTTAATAGTAAGTAAAAAATATATAATAGAAGTTTCTCATGTCACAGCTTGAGTTTAGCACCTGATGTACAGATCACTGAGTGTCCTTAGGGAGAGAATCTCCAGTGACAAACTGTACATGCGTTAGATGTGGCCTGTTACTTGATAAGCATGTAGTTTTATGTTGCCCTGAGAGCATATCTTTTATTCCATAGCAGGAAACCTCACTCTATAAATATGAGAAAACAGAGATTTATATGTATAATATATTGAATTGAATCTTTGAGAATATAAGTAAACTGATACTATCCTCTTCCTATACAGAGCATATTTTAAATAGAACATTTTTGAAAATATGATTCCACTGTTTTTGAAAGTTGTCAAAATAGGGGCACCTGGGGAGCTCTGGTTGGGTGTCTGACTTTGGCTCAGGTCATGACCTCACAGTTTGTGGGTATGAGCTCTGCATCAGACTCTGCTGCCAGCTCAGAGCCGGGAGCCTGCTTCAGATACTGTGCCTCCTTCTCTCTCTGCCTCTCCCCCACTTGTGCTCTGTCTCTCAAAATGAATAAACATTAAAAAAAATTAAAAAAAAAAAAGTTGCTAAAATAATGGTTAAAAAAGGATCCCTAAATGGTCTGTGAGGTACATAAGTGGGTTTTCTTCCTTTCTTTTTTGTTTTCTTTCTTTCTTTTTTTTTTTTTTTTTTTGTTAAATTTTATTTCTTTAATCTCTACACCCTACGTGGGGCTCAAACTCACCACCCCGAGACCCAAAAGTCCCATGCTCCTTTGTGACTGAGCCAGCCAGGCACCACATACATGGATTTCTGATGATTCTGATTGAGCTTGTACAGAAAAGTGTTGTGTTTCCTTCAACCTATACCATGTCCACTTCTAGAGACAGGTTTGTTTTCCAGTTTTTCTTTTCGTATGGGCGCACTCACAGCAATGTATAAGCTGGCAAACCATTATGGGCTTTAAAATTATTTCATCATGGGGCACCTGGCTGGGTCAGTCGGTTGGTTAAGTGTCCAACTCTTGATTTTGGTTCAGGTCATGATTCCACGTTTTGTTAAGCCTGAGCCTTCCATTGGGCTCTGCACTGACAGCATGGAACCTGCTTGGAAGGCTTTCTCCCTCTTTTCTCTGCCCCTTCCTGGTACGCATGCTCTCTTCTTCTCTGTCTTAAAATAAATAAATAAACTTGAAATAAATTATTTCATCACTTTTGCATGGCAAAAACAAGTGATAAATAAACAAGTGTTTATTATAAAACAGTGATAATTACTTTAGTGGCACCATACCATTTTAAAGGTTAAGGAATTTTACTTTTTGAGAAGTATAATCAGTTTTTACTGCTTGCTTGCTAAAAAGTGACACACATGGCTCAGTGTATTTTTAAATAATTACATAAGGACAGGGTAGCCATGTTCCCATAAAATACACTTGCTAAAGTTGCAGCTACTTGCAGACACTGATTGGTTGTAATTTCTGAATGTATCCCAGAATCAAAGAGAGCCTCATTGGCCTGTCTTGGGTCAGATGACTACTCTGGCCACGCCTGCTTTGGTTGATTGGTTGAGGCCAGGTGGTTTAATATGGGGGGTACCCAGGGAAATGGGGGGAAATCTGACACCACCAAAAAGGTCTATGAACCATAGATTCTTAGAAGTGGAAATTTTGTCACAACACTGTTGCCTCTCCAACACATTTTATTTCTTTTTACCTTTGTAAATTTGATGGATGAAAAACAGTAATTGACTTTAATCCATGATTCTTTTATCACTAGTGAGTTGAACATTTTCAGATAGCCGTTTGTGTTTTCTCATTTAAAGTTGAAACCAATTCTAGTGAAAGTGCTCTCATTTTGTCAGTTTTTAATGATTCTAGAAATGGGTAGCTTATTGGATGTTAATCCTCTCTATAAGTTTTATGTTTGAAAAATAACTTACCGTAGTGAAGCAAGCAAGTACATTTCTATAACCCTTAAAACCTGAATACTTGGGGAGGAAAAAAGACACATGAACACTTCCCTAGTAGTTAAAAACTGTTGGTGTCCGATTAGGTAGACAATGACATTTTTTCCTTTTCAGCCAGCTTCTGTAAATAATCTCTGGACAGTGGTAAAAAGATTGTGTTTAGTTTCCGGCTACACCCCTATAGTGTAGAATTGGTCATTGTTTTAGCCAGGACGTGGCGAGTTTTACCAAGCGTAGACCGTGTAGCAAGGATGTAGTGAATAGTGAACTCTTTTCTTTCCTCTTCACAGGGAGTCGATGTTGATGCAGAAAACTGTGCAGTGTGTATTGAGAATTTTAAAGTGAAGGATGTTATCAGAATTCTGCCGTGCAAGTATGTCCTTGTTACTTCCTGAGATGCTGCAAACTACCCGATCCATTTCAGGTTTCTGACAAAAGTATTAACATGTTTTTTATGATGTTTGATCTTGCTATCATGTGGTGATCTTGCTATCATTCATCCTGTAGGAAAGAAGCTCCAAGCCTTTGAGGCTCCTGGATTTGGATTATATTACCTTCAAATTTGCTTAGGACACTTCAGGTCCTAAGACAGACCGGTTATGTATCTTTGTCGTAGATTGGCTTCTAGTCTAAAGCAAGGCTTCGTTAGGAACCTGGGAATCCTATCCCACATTCAGCCATGCAAGATGTGTTCTGTGTCTGAGCAAGGAGACTGAAGCATGACCGGTGAAGGACTACCAGGGGCGGCCAGAGATGGTTAGCAGAGAGTCAGGGAGGGCAGTGGTTTGCCAGTTTTTGCACGCTGGGGTTTAATGCTTTAGGCGGGTTCTGCCAGATAAATACTTCTCACTTTAGGTGCACTGGGGGCTTTGCTTTAGCAATGGGAAGTTGAGCTTTCCTTTTTTTTTTTTTTGTTTTCTTTTATTAAATAATGGGATACTTTATTGATAAACATTTAGAAGAATAGCTGTTATCAGCAAGATGTACAAAAACTATAATATGCTTTGAGTCTGATCAGTTTTAATTATACTTCCCACCTATTCCAGTAGGTCAGAAGTTAATACATAATTATGGTTTGCTTTATGTTTACAAAGTACTTTAATATATACACAAGTACTCTATAGTAGATTGAGCTCTCAGTAATTCTGTAGAGAAAACAAATGAATATCAGAATAACAAAAGTTTACAGAATAAAGATCACTAACTTCAGTCTGCAGGCTTTTATATGAGGTTGGTGTGGTGGGCACTTAATGCATTGGGGTCAGTATGTCCTGTACAAAGTCATTAAAATAGAAAAAGATTTTTACTGTAGGGGGGTTTAGGGCCAGTCTTTCTGACTTAAAAATAATGCTTGGGATCCAGTACAAGTGAGCAGCCTGAGACTCACTTCCTTTGTGACACCAGGTCTGTCCCTCTGGCTGAGCTGAGTTTCATACCTGACATGTTGCATGTGCACATTTCCTGGGCTTCTGCTCTGGGGTTTTTACTTATTTCCCCCATTTTCTCCCCTGCTTGGTTTAACATATTTCCTAATAAAGCCAACATGTTTCCTTTGTGTTTCTATAAAAACCATTCCATTGGGTCAGTCAGTTTCAGTTTCAGTTTGAGGATGCAAAGGTCAGAAGACAGGCTGGGCTAGACTGTATTCTGTAATTAAGTTCTTTTATCTTTAACTGCACTGTCAGACTTCTGTATGAAGAAGAGGTCTTCAAACAGCGGCATTAATAGTGATGAACAGTTACTCAGTATTTCCTGTGCCCAGCACTGCTGTAAGCACATTACGTGTCTTCTGCTGAGAACAGCCTGGGGTGTAGATACAGAGAGGGTGAGCAGCTGGTTCAGACTCCCAGGGTCACGTCTCACAGTGGGCACTGGAGCCCTGGGCACTGTACCCATTCTCCTGACTCTTTATCTTCACTATGTATAGAAGACAGATTCACCGTCTAAGAGGCAAAGTGAGCCAACTACAACAAATCAGTAAAAGAACTACTTTTTCTTTTTTTCTCTTTTTGATTCTGAAAGTGATCATTATAGAAAAACATGGAGTATACAAAAATACATTAAGACAAAAAATAAGTGTCTTTTTTTAAGCCTGCAGCCTAAGGTGATCTGTTTATATTTTGCTCTATTTCCATTTGATTCATTTCATGAATTTTCTATAAGATATTCCAAGTTCTCCAAAGTATAAGTTTATTGCTGTTAGTTTACTACTGGTTTACTTATGCCACAGTTATTCCCAAAAGTTACAGAGGCACATAAAAATATAATCCAGCATGAGGTGAAAATAAACCATGCAGTTTTTGTGGAGTGAAGGGAAAATTTCCTGTAAGTTCCAGATTCTGTTTAACATGGGAAGTAGAATAGATAATGACATAGAGTAAGCGAATAGACTAGAATGTTGATTTGAAGTCGTTTAACTTGTTCTGAGAAGGTGAGTTAGTAGAATATGTTGTTTCCTTTATAAGATATAAACATTTATTTTAAAACATTAACACATACTTAATTTTTTTAGGCATATTTTTCATAGAATATGCATTGACCCATGGCTTTTGGATCACCGCACGTGTCCAATGTGTAAACTTGATGTCATCAAAGCCCTGGGATATTGGGTTTGTTACATTTTTGTTTATATTCAATCTCTGCCCCGGTTCTTCCTGAGTGATTAAATTTCATTACTGACCAGAGGCAAGAGGAACAGACTAAAGTGCTCCTTCTGACATGTTTGTGATTCTTTGAAGAAATTTTCCTCATGATTAAAAATGCATTTTTAAGGCATTCCAAAAAAATAATGAACTACTACCTTTGTGTTATAGACTAATATGCCAGATGTTTCTCCCAGAGGGTTTGTAATTGCTTAGAGCAATGTGCTTTGGTACGCTGCCCTGCAGTATATGTATATGCTCATCAGTGTCATATAAACGAGAATTATAAAGTGTTTGAAATGAAAGAAGCCTCCTGCATTTTCTGGCTCAAGGCACACATTTGACATATGAGGAAACTGAAGCCACTACTTCCTGACATCAGATCTCAGATTCCTGGGTTTCGAAACCAAATCCTGCTGGGGAAATTGGTCCTGTGTGGAATTGCTCCATCGGTTTGTGGTGCTCAGGTGGTCCGAGGACCTTCCTCAGAAAACAGAGACATGAGGGCAGAGTGAAAGACGGGGCTTCATAGGAGCCAGCCGTGTGCCGAGGGCCTTAACGTTCGTTATTACATGCAGTCCTCACAGCTGTAAGTGCTGTTTCTCTAATTAGGAACTTGAGCGTAGAGAAGCCAGGTAGCTCGCTTAGGTCACACAGCTAGTTAGTGGGGAATCAGCTTTCAGACACAAGTTTGCTTAATTCCAGGCTATAAGCTTTTAACCAGTAGTCCCACCCAAAAGAGGAGACTTAGAGGGAAAAAACAGATTTTTCTAGATTGCTGTATTTTTAATTGTTTTGAGTCTTCATATAATCTATTAATTTCTTAAAATACTCTTGATTATTAAATAGTAAATAGTTTTGAAATACTGACCTCTGGAAGAAGTAATTTAAATACCAGATAAACTTTTTGTATTGCTAAACATACTTTTTTGAGTTTTTTAATAGTGTTTATGGTAGAGCTAGAGACCACAAGGAGGTTTCTCCTGCACCTTATGGCCATAGTAGCCCTCGAGGTATCCTGTCCTCTCTAGTTTAGTGGGCCTTGGAAAGGTAGTTGGAAGACTGCTGCCTTAATGACTACTGTAATTTTATATGAATTATATTTTTCTTCCAGTGTGAGTCCCAGAATGCCCTCACCATAGATAGGTACACAGAACTGGGGGGATGGTCGGCATTCAGGACCTGTCTTACTGAAAGAAAACTTCACCTGCTTTAGTGTCTAGAAAATTTGTCTTTCCTCTAGAATTTCTAACATTCACTTGTTGATAGTTTTTAGTAACGATGGCTCTGTTTAGCAGGACATAACACGCTTTGTGGATTTGAAACTTAGTGAACGGAGCCTGGAGCTCAGACAAGAGAGTGCACCTTCCTGGGATTCTGAGCAGCACATTACAGGGAGCTTGACAGGTGTTTTTCTTGGCAAAGGTTTCCTTTTTCCTATTGTTTTTTCCTTCATTAGATACATTCTGAAGCTCATTTTAAATTATCTTCCTCATTATTCGCTAGTTTTAAACCTGCTTTTCATTTCTAAAAAAAAATTTTTTTAAGTTTATTTATTTTGAGAGACCGCAAGCATGAGTGGGGTAAGGGCAGAGAGAGAGGGAGACAGAGGATCCCAAACAGGCCCCACAGTGTCAGCGCAGAACCCCGCACGGGGCTCGATCTCGCAAACCCTACAGTTATGACCCGAGCCAAAATCCTGTCAGATGCTCAACTGCCTGAGCCACTCAGGCGCCCCCTAAACGTTTGTATAAAGGTCTTTCATTAAGCTTAGCACTGAGACTTTAATCATTGTGAGTTTTGTTTTGGGAAATCTGTCTACATATATATATTTCATACATTAAGAATGAAGATTCTTTTATACGTATATAAGGCTGGATTATGTTGTTAAAATGTTAATTTCAGAAAGCTTGGCTCTGTCCGCAGAAAGTAATTTCTTTTTTGAAGAACAGAAACCTATAGCAAGGGATTACCTTGTCTTGCCCTTAGTTTTTATTTTTTGGATGAATGTGCCATTTTCTTTAGACCCTGTGGCCCATCCCGCATTGGGTTTTGAAGGTAGTTACGACACTCTCATGGTATCATCTGTGGAAAGAGAGCTGCTCTCAGTCCTTCACATGGACTTGGGAGGTAGTCCTTGCGTTTGCAGCTGTAACCTCCTGGATGGGCCATTTGTCGCTCTTGTTTTCATTCATTCAGCAAGCGTGTATCAAAGGAGTGCTCTCTCAGGTGCTTGAGATCAGAACTTGACTTGGGGAGACAAAGACAAGTGAGATGCAGCCCTTCTGCCCATGGGCTCTTAGGGATTTCACTTTCTGGACTGTGGGGGCCTCATGCACGGTGCAGCAGAGGACAGATGTTTAAAGTGGTGAGGAGCGTGGAGGAAGGAGGAATTTACTCTGCCAGGTGGAGTGGGGAGATAAGAGGGTGGTTTTTTAAGAGGGGAGTCTGAGCCCACTGTTAAAGGGTTTGTCTGTCTGATCACTATATTGCAGATGGGGGTGTGACCATGTGGGCTTTGAGACTGGCAGGTAGTTAAGTTTGTCGGGTATTTCAGTAACTACCTGGGAAAACAGATAAGGTTGGGCTGGGTGGGAGTTTGGACGTCCTAGCAACTCAGTAGGATTCATGGCTTGGTGTGTCAGGAGTCTGTTCTGAGGTTGCTCGGTTACCAGTGAGGAGAAGGCAATGTACCATGTTCAGAAGGACAGTTCTAGAACCCTGTGGAGCGGCAGTGGGAGCAGTGGGCTGCTGTGCCCTTGATCCCGAGAGCCCGGGGAGGGAGTTGCAACAAATGCCATGTTCTCACGTGAAGCCCAGGCTCACAGTAAACCCACAGCCACCACTTTTTTACCAGGTCACCTAGTGGTTTCCTCTCTCACAGCATGGCCCTGACTCTGCTATTAATCAGAAAGCTATCTGGATTAGCCTCCATGTGAAACTGGACTGTCACTTTCATGGTCCTGTTCTTTAAAGCAGCACAGGGTGGAATTGAAGGTAGACTGAGAGGTGATAGACACTGTCCCCAGGGAGCCACAATTGATTCTTTTTTAGTGAACCAAACACAGTCTGAAGCCCTCTGTTGTCAGATGCTGTGTTCTTCCCCCAAACCCTGGTGCCTGCGATAAGACCTTAGGGCAGTTAGAGGCAGTAATCCGAGCCCCACGGCCACAGCCAGGCTGATTCACACCCTCTGTGCAGGAAGCAGGGAAAGTGCGTCTGTGACAAAGCTTCACTTCCTGTCAATAAAGGGTTTAAAAGGTGGCATTGCTTACATCAAGGTGGGAAATGGTTTTTTAAATAAACAGCGTTTAGGTCTTGGAAAGCTGCTCAGTGAAAAGTAATTAATTTTCTGATGTTGCTAAATAAAGAAGACATTAGTGTTCTTACCTGATTCCGTGTATAAAAATATTTTGTAGGAGTTACACGTAATGATTAGGAGATGATAGATCAGCCTTACACGTGGTACTCAGACAAGGTATTTTCTTTTGTTCTCTCAAGGGAGACGTGGAGGATGTGCCGGAGACGCCTGCTCCAGAAGCTACCGCTGGGAGTGTTTTGGCTGCAAATTTGAGTATTTCACTGCAAGAGGATGACCGGAGCGAGGGGAGCAATTTCCCGTCCTCTTCCACTGGCGAGTCTGCCCCGCAGTGTGATGCCAGCTTTAAAGAAGATGCTGGTGAAAACACAGCCTTGCTAGGTAAGTGCTTTCCAGGCTATAAAACAAAATGATGCTAGCGGTTGGGGAACAAAATGAAGAAATACATAAAATGCAGAAAAACATAAAGGAAAAATAGAAACCATAATCACACACCTGGAAATAACCATTTCAACGTTTTGATAAATAGCTTTCCAGATGTTCTTCTGTGTTTAAACGCATATCATTTATGTGCCGCTAGGTAACCAGTTTTTCTCTTAACATGTGCAGCTCTTTTCTATAACAGTAGGTATTTGATTCTGTGTGGCTGCATGGTATTACAGCTTAGATTCACTGTCGTTTCTTTAAACCACACCCTTTTGGTGGACTTTATTTTGGCACTCAGAAGTTGCTATGTGTGGCTCAGTTAAGTGTCCTACTCTTTTGTTTTGTTTTAATATTTTTTTAAAAGTTAAAAAAAATTGTTGCACCTATACCTTCACCACCTAGACGTCTGATTGTTTCTTGTCATTCTGAGAAAGGAGATAGAGTGAATTGTATTGTTTTAATTACCAATGAGATGATCTTACTTTCATATTTGTTGGTCATTTTTCTTCTTTCAGGAGTTGCCCACTTCATCCTTACCTTATTTTTCTCTGGAGAAACTAATTTTTTCATGTCGCTTCTAAGAGCTCTTTGATTTTTGTCATATGTATTATATATTTCTCTCCCGGTTTCTCATGTTTTGACTAATTGGCATATTTTGCTAGTAGAAATGTTTCATTTTTCTATAGTCCCAGCGTACTTTCATGATTTTGCCTTTGATAGCATACTAACTTTGGAAAAGTCTTCCTTTTTTTTTTTTTTTTAAATGTTTTATTTATTTCTAAGAGAGACAGTGTGAGCAGGGGAGGGTCAGAGAGAGAGAGGGAGACATAGAATCTAAAGCAGGCTCCAGGCTCTGAGCTAGCTGTCAGCACAGAGCCCACTGCGGGGCTCAAACCCACAAACCATGAGATCATGACCTGAGCCGAAGTTGGCTGCCCAACTGACTAAGCCACCCAGGCGCCCCTGGAAAGTCTTCCTTATCTCAGGATTATAAATATATTAACCCATATTTTGCTAATATTTGTGGTTTTGTATTTTACCCTTAAATCTTTAATCCACATAGCTTAATGGAAGGTTTAGCCTATTTTTTCTTTTTCCCAAAGGTTTAACCCGTTGTCCCAATGTTTAGTGAATTATAATTATTTTAGTGAATAATAATTATTTAGTGAGTAATAATTAAATATGTTTTGATATTGCCAAGGCAAATTCTTTCACCTTTTTTCATTGAAAAAAATTTCTGGACTATACTGCATTTTTCTAAAAAAATGATTCTGCAAAGTGAAAACTTTTATTATAATCTAATTCATTTAGGAAATTAACTGGGAAGAGTTGATGCTTCTGATTTTGAATTTTGCCATATGGGAAGAGAAAGCATATCTTTCCAAATCAGCAGTACTCAGACTGAAACAGTTTTATGTAGGGTTATGAAGCAAAAATAAATAGAAATACTAGAACTTGGGTTTTAAACCGGTACCCAAGGAAGGAGAGTGTGGCACCTGCAGAAGAGAAGGGGAGAGCCCATTTCCGAGCACTGGAATGCAAAAAGGACATTCTCCCAACCAGCTCCCTGGCTGCCTGCTGAGACTGAACCACCTTGAGAATCCATCCCATCCGATTGAGCCCAGCGTCATTTTTGCCATTGCCATCAGTCTCCAGAAAGAAACAAAATTTCCTTTCACTAGTACTTGACCCTCCCTGAGATAGTTAAAGGCCAGTAAAGACTCTTACCCTGACTAAACGTCCCCACGTTTTCCTGCACTCCTGTTACCTGTCATGCATCAGTTTGTCAGCATCTCCTCTCCCCTCTTAGAACTAAGATAAAATCATTTGAAATAGTGCATAGAAATAAAAGTGGAAAAAGAAGCTAGGTTATAGAACAACAGGATGTTAGACACATTCTGAAGAAACTGAGCCCTCTCCCCACACCTGCCTTTTGTGTGTGCTTGCTTTTTGATGGGGAAGGGTTTTTTTCTGTCCTTTTTTATCTTTAATTTCCAAGCATTTGTTCACTAGTAAATTGACAGGTAAATTTAAATGTTCATGTTCTTTCTACCTTATCTTGTACCAACATAATTTGAGAAATATTAAATTGGAGAAATCAATTCTTTAAAAAAAAAAGTTTGAGACAGGACACCCATGTGCACAGGGAAGGGGCAGAGAAAAAGGGAGAGAGAAAATCCCAAGCAGACCCTGACACAGGGCTTGAACTCATGAACTGTGAGATCATGACCTGGGCCCAGAGTTGGACGCGTAACTGACTGAGCTACCCAGGCACCCCAGAGAAATCAATTCTTTTAAGCAGACACTAGTACTTCCAGAATAAAATGTGGCTTCACTTAAAGCTGAGAAAACATTTACTAGGCTCTTCAGAGCAACTAGAAGTAAAATGTGGAACTTAACTACTCGCTGGAGAGTATTTCCTGGTGAGTACTCCTTCTGTTGTCCAGTTGACCTTGGCTCCAGCTGGAGGAGAGTTGAAGTATTTGATTCTGTATTTAAGGAAATACTCTATACTTGTAAGAAACCTGTGCTGAAATTATTTTATGCTCCTCTTCCGAGTAATACCCGTCTGTCTGGCTTTGAACACCAGTTCCTTTTCCAAGATAGTTAAACCTCTCTGTGCCCATGTTTAATAGCACCATTTTGATCAAAATAACGTTGGTTAGACTAATAGGAGAAAACTTCTCACATTGTGTGAGAGGAAGATGTTTGTATATTTTTCTTGCCCTCTGGAATGGGCTGCCAATTTTACATGTAGGTTTTATTTAAATTGTTTTGTAATTTGTTTCTTAAATTATAGTCTCCAAATGAGTCACAGTGTTTCTGTAATTGAAGTTTAGAATATGCGAAGTGGCTAACCTTGGCTTTTGTTGCTTCATTGTAGAAACGGGCAGAAGCGACCTTGAACATGGAGGGCCCATCTCCTAGCGCACATCCTGGTGACCGCATCATGGACAGAGCTTTTTGGCTTCAATTAAAGGACTTTTTTTTTTTTTTTTTTTTACTTCACATAGTTTGTATATTTGAAAATAATGTACATTCTTTTATCTTTCAGGTTCTGATTTGTTATACAAAGGGCTAAGATATTTTATTCTTAAAGAGACGTTTTGATTAGTCTTAATATATTTATCTACTAAAGTATATCATTTACGATAAACAGTATGTTGTTTTGGACTCTTACAGAGGAGACCACTAGGAAGTCCCTCTAAAGGGGGCAGCGGGGTGAGGTGTTTATGAATACTAAACTAGCTACTACGGTACTGTACGAATGGGATTAATTTTGTTTCTCAAGGATGGTTTTAGACTGAGCTACTGAATTTAGACTGGCGGAAGTAGAATTATATAATTCACTTCAGTAATTGATCACAAGTTTTCCTGGAGGAAAGGCTCGAGAAATCTACAGCTTTCTCAAACTTCTGTGTCATTATATAGACTTTGGAATTATAGGAAAAGCACTAGATGACTTTACGATTTGTGTTTTCTCTTTTTAATCCCTAATTGCTTGTGATACTTTAAAGGAGAGGAAAATTTGTCCATTTTTTTCTACAGATGAAAAGCTAAGATCCTTTATCACATGAGCAATTAAGTTTTTCATTGCCTTAAGGACAATAGAGTAGGCAGACTTTCTTATACATGATGACCGTACTGCTTCCAACTACAATATAATCTTGACAACCAAGAGTGATAGATGGAGAACTTTGTTGCTGTTTGAAAATAAACAAGCAGCCAGTTTTCCTGATTGATTTAAAGATCATGACCTTGTGTTACCATCTATCCTTTTTAATCTTGGCTGTTCTTACTTGTAGGTTGAAAGGGGCAGGTGAATGTAAAGCTTTTGGAGACTGCACTCTTAAATTTTATAAAATTAAGTAAAAACGCACTCTGCCTTCCTCTCCCTTCTTGGAGGTGGAAGTTGAGGATGAGGGAGAGTTATTTTTTTTTAACTTGAAACTTGTCCTTTGTTGCTTCTAAGCTGGTTGTGTGTATCTTTATTTTGTGAGTAAAATAAAGATCTATTTGGAGTTTTAAAAAAATGTAAGGAATTTATTCTTAACAGCTGCATGTAAGTTTTGTATAGCTTTTTTTTTCTTCTTCTTCATACTATTTGTCGCACTTGGATTCTAGCCATTCATAGCGAAACATTTGGTGAGTAAACAGTTTTGCTGAAGTAAACTCTGTGGCCAGATTCAACTTGAGGAGCTACTGAAGTAGAAAAGTTGACCGACTTTGAGCTCTCATTGACAGCCTCAAAGTAGGTTTCCATTATAGCCATTCTCTTTGTGGTTCATTACAAATAGGAAAGTTATGTCCTTGGTTCTGTACCAAGTAGACTTTTTGCTCTTTGTGTTTTAAGATACATACTTGGGAGACATGCTTTAATGAATAATTCTTTCCATTCTCCAATGAAGCAGACTTTTAAAAGGAATACTATAACAGATCTAGCTAAATTTTTTTGATAATTACAGAAGTGTGATTTCTTAACTAGCAGCTATCAGATAGAGCTTTCCTTAATTCAAAAGTTTGAACACTAAACTATAAATCAAAGAGATGGGAAGAATTGTAGTGGTCTGATCTCATCTCCAGAGACATGTCTTTAAAAAAAATTTTTTTAATGTTTTTGAGAGAGAGAGATGGATAGAACATGGGTGGGGGAGGGGCAGAGAGAGGGAGGGAGACACAGAGACACAGATTCCGAAGCAGGCTCCAGGCTCTGAGCTGTCAGCACAGAGCCTGACTGGGGGGGGAGAGGGGGCTCAAACCCACAGAGCAGTGAGATCCTGACCAGAGCCGAAGTTGCTTAACCAGCTGAGCCACCGAGGTGCCCTGGAAACATGTCTTTAATAGCAGAGAAAGGAATTACCAAGAGAAAATAGAGAACTGCAACAATTTGAAAGCTTCCTCTGATAGGCTTTTTTAAAGGCAGAAATAAATAGGATAGAGAAGGGTCAAATATTAGCAGAATTTTTGCTGAGACATAAAATTCATAAAATGCTACTCGGAATAAGGGGAACTTAATGAAGAAAGAGTAAACCAGAGAGATTTGGTTTAAGGTTAGTCACATTATTTATGGCAGTAATCACAGTCCCTCTAACAGTTGTCATAAAAGCCATTTGTTCACAAATATTGTAGAAACAGGTGTTTTTTGTTTTTCTTTAAAGTTTGAAAGTCCCAGGCAGCATGTGAAAGAAGCAGTTCGACCGTGAACGGGAAGCACTCTTGTCATCCGCTGCCCGCACGAGTGGGTGCTGCTGCTGGGTTTCCCACCAGAAGACCACCAAGGCCAGGAGGAGAGAGAGAAAAACGGGGCACCTTGGCAGGTAAGTTTCCTCACGTGCTCAAGTCTGGGGGGTCCTGAATGTAAAAAGCCTTTCCTAAGAGCTTGTCTCCTGCAGTCACTGAGGAGTGATGACAATAAAAGGCCGAATTGCAGCGTGCCTATCAGCAGTTTGCTCTCTGTGGGGCACACGATGACAAAATCTCCAGAAGCGAATCACTGGTCTGACCTCAGTAACCTCAGGATTGAAGCTTTGCACTCAGGCAGGCTTTCCCAGAGGGGCCTTCTCTTCCCAAAGAGAACTGGTATGTTTAGAAGGAAAAATAATCAGTGAATCAGAGACATCAGACCTTAAATGAGTACTAAATATTTCTCTGCAGTATACTTGCTGCATCAGAGGCTTCTAGAATCAGGAACAGTAATAGACCTTCAAGAACACGTTGTGTACCCGCTTGGATTAAATAGCCAGTGTAACCAGATTCCCCAAGAGAATAGCTTAATTGGCAAGTCTGCTCTTTTGAGCACATGGAAGTTTATTTGCTCAGTAAAGGCTGAGATTACATCAGTATGTGTATGTTACTAGCGAGAACCTGAGGTAATTATGTGTTTGGTCAAAAGCAGTTTCTTTGAGCTCAGCGTAAACTGTATTTGTGATTTACAAAGCACAGGATGTTGGCCTGAACCAAAGCGAGTCTTGTATAGAACATATGCTGTGCTTCTGTGATGCAACAACCAATTAGAAAAGCCACCTACGCCTTTCCCAGTTAATTTCGTTTTTGAAGTTTTAAAAACACAAACATTTCACTTTAAAAAATGCTAACGTGTAATTCTAGTTATAAAAGTGAAATCTCTACAATGTCATAATCAGCCATTTAGCTAGATTTGCCTTTAATAGCAAAGTAGACGTTGTGAATTGAAAAAGGTGTATGCATCACAGTAACTGAATCCATTCTTTTTGATGAGGTATAAACTTGTATATTTTGGCCTAATGAGAAACCTGAGAACACCAGCACTTTCTGGGGGCTTGGTTGCCTCGGTATCGGATCCCAGGATTTTTAAGTGTTTGGGGAAGCATTTTAGGGATAGATTTCCTGATCAGAACAATAGTGATTGCACAAAAATAACAGACAGACCTGATATAAAGTGAAACCAACAAAATGTTTTTGTACCTAGGTAGAGTGTGCAAGAATTTTAAAGAATATGTAAAAATATGCGTTAATTTTCCAGATATCCTGAAAATGTTAAAGTGCTACCATTCAAAATATTATTTAAAACGAATATTATTTAAAATGAGCACATACTCCATCATGTTCCATAGGAATGTCAATCTTTACAAAACAGTAAGAGGTGGTAGACGCCACTTAAAATTTTGGGAAAATGTGTACTCTGTGAGAAAGGTGAGTGATAACTTTCTTTGTTTAAACGTATAAACACTGTTAAAAGAGAATTATTTGACATAGTCGTATCTTAGGATCCGATTATTTTTGAAGTATTTTTTCTTTCTACTCTATGATGTAACTTAGTGCTATCTTTTTAACAGGTGATTTGGAGATAGTACAACTAGAAAATCCAGAGAATTCAAGAGGTGTTGTTTTTAACATGGCAGTAAATTTAACTACACTTAAAAACTGATTACAGTTACTGAATCCCAGGACTATCATTTATTTCAGGTAAACTTTCTTCTTTTAAAATGTTTAATGAAGAATCTTTTGCTAGTGTTATAAACGTAAACCTCACTTTTTTTTTTTTTTTTTTTTTGGTAAAATGTTCCCTAAATGTAATTTACTGCTGTTCTTTGTGAACTTTTTAGATTTGGAAAGTCTTTCCTCTTTCAAGTAAACGCCAACAGTGTGATCTTGGGACGATAAGCAGTAGTGAGTCTCTTTATTTGCAGAGTCCACGTTTGTAAATTCAGCGACTGAATTTACCTGTAACCCCCACATTAGGATGGGCAGTGATTTGGGCCAGGTCCTTTGCAGCACGTACAGTGTGCGGTGAAAATTGTGAGGCACGTGACCCTCTTCTGGTTGAGGTTTAAGAGGACGTTCTGCCTTCTTGTTTCATCTCTCAAAGTGTCAACAGTGTCCTCTTCTCCACTGTGGATTTAGTGTTGTCTTTCCCAAAATTTTGTACCTTGGTGATTTCACCATTTAAAATGGCCCCCAAGCATAGTGTCATCTCCTGTTCTCAGCACATGAAGTCTGTGATGTGCCTTATAGAGAAAGTACGTGTTAACCAAGCTTTGCTCAGACATGGGTTCACAGTACTGACGGCCAGTGCCGCTCAGTGTTACCAGAGAATCAGTAGGTCCTGGAGCCCTTCCAACAGTGGTCCACACTTTGCCATTTCAGAAAGCATCTCAGTAATGAACTGTTTCTTTTCCCAAACCTAATACGTAACAGTGATGCCCACTTTTAGATATGGAGATCGAGGTTGTTACTATCATTTTGGATGTTTTAAATGCATTCCTCTACTACACTGGCTTGGGTTCTTATTTCCTGTAAGTAAATATGTTTATAAATACCTTACTTTCATAAGAATACCTAAGACCTAAGATTTCGTATAAATCTAGGAGTACTGCTCCTTTGCTAAGGATTAAATTGGAAGGTGAACTCCTGCTGAATAGATTATTTCCCTGTAACGAACAGGCTTTGGAAGTATCTCAGTAAATGAGTGATTTTTCATGGTTTCTTCAAGTTAAAAAAAAAAAACAAAAACAAAAAACATCAGATAATAGTTCATAAAAAACTTTAATATAAGGCACTCTTGTCCAAAGTTACATGAGGGAGAACAGCCCACAGGACGCCAGCCACCTTGTCCTCCTGGGTCTCACACAGGTCCTCTGCCCCAGCATAGGCGGCAGGGTACAGACTATGTGACAGTTCCTCAGTGGTGATATTATCTCCCAAAGCATGGACTAATATTTTTCCTTAAAACAAGAAAATAACTATCTTAGACTAAGAACTGAAGAACTAATGAACATCTTGAGAGGAAAAAAACAGAACACTACACCAGCTATTAGAGTCTCAAAAAAGGTTTTCTAAGAGTTTCCATGTTTCTAAAGAGGTCCAAGAAATGCACGTATTCTGTTGTCTATTAAGTCACCATGACAAGAAAGGATAAAGTTAGAAGCATTTTCTTGCTTCAGACTGTGCTTAATGAGAAAGTAAGGGCTATATGCATAAATGGGTTCAAGGAGCAAACTTCTGTTTGCCATTTGATTCAAAAACACTCCATTGATTTCCTCTCAAGGGCAGTATGACAAATTCCTAAGAATGTCTTCATTTACTCATTAAATACTTTTAATATTAGAACCTTAAAACTGGGATTCTTGATTTATCAGTAGCCTGTAACTTGTGTTTTAAACAAAAACAGGCACCTTGTTCTATAGTGCTAAAGACCTCCTCTACTTTTTTACGATAACCTTTTTTGGATAACTGCTAATCCTAACCAACAGCAAGACACCAAAATAGACACATTTTTCAAAGTTCTTACCAAAAATTCATCTCAAGGAAAAAGTCATCCAGGAAAGGAAAAAAGTGGTTTATATGCATTAGCCCAAGCAATCCACTCATGGTTCTATGAGTTTAAAAATTAAGTCACAATACAGCTGAATAATGAATGTGGTGATTCTGATGAGGTATTATTTTGACATTTTGGTCTCGGAAGGGGTTTCTCCAGTATCCAAGGTCTTCAGCAATCGGAAAAGGCCAGCAGCTTCTCGTATCCTACTGAATTCAATACAGAATGCCTGCACTTCTATAAACAAGTCCTGCACGTTAATTATTTTGTTGCGGATCAAGGACTGGAGAAAGACACACACTAGACGCACCAAACGATTCTGAAAAAGAGAAAAAAGCAAATTTCAGTGCACCCATTTTCTTGGCAGGTATTTATAAAATTTACAAAAATTTCTGCTACTTACCTGCATATATTTATCCTTAATTTGTTCACAAGTAGAGATGCAATTTGATATGTAAAGGTGAATAAATTCAGGAGGTAGATCAACAGCTGTAGTCAGTCTGTTTCAGAAAGTTATAAAAAAGTTAGGACTGTTAAAAAAACATTATTAACCATAAAATATAAAATCCCATTTTGGTCATTTAGTGAAAATTTCTGATATATGATCAGTTACCTACTTTTAAACATACTTATGCAAATAAGCCTGAGCCACCCCCATTTAATAAATGGCACATTTTTAAGTCTGTAATTAGCATTACACATGAAAATTCCTCATGTTTTTGAACACATTTCTCTGTTCTTGGTTGAATCCTAATTTGTAGTTAATGGGTCTTCAAGCTCTAATAAGTAACATATATTAAACCCCAATTACACATAAGTGCTATGCAAGGTGGTATGTCCAAGAACGTATAATTTAACAATAGTACACTATAATTAAAGGCTAAAATGAGGGGTTTGCAAAAAGCAGTGTAAATGAAAAAAAATAGGAAAAGCCTTGAAAGGTCAAGTGGCCTCAAACTGAAAACTTGGAAGTATTCCTTGTAACCTAGTGAATGACGTGAGGAAAAAGCTGGGATCGGAGATCAGTGTGGGACATTCAGGAACACGGGTAGAGACCCGGATGGAATGTGACAGAAGGCACTGGTGGCACATTAGCGTCTCCAAGAGGAAAGCTGGTATTTCCCAAAGGATTCTGTGGAATATTTTAAGGAAAACAAGGTGGGAATTCCATGTTCAGATAAAGGTGTACTATGCTAACTATACAGTATGAGTTTCCAAAAGGAATTCTAAACTTTGACTGCAGAACCTTTTCCCATAAGGCACCAAGGAACCAGTGCTCTGAGAAAAGTGCGGTGTTCGCTTGAGATGGGGGGCGGTGGGCACAAGGAGCTGACCTTGTCCTTGAAATTACTCTCTAGAAAGAATACAACTGATAACAAGATGTGGTTGTTCTTGGACTAAATACCAAAGAGCTGGTGAAAAGAGTGCTATAAGAACACAGCGAAGGGGAAGAAGCTGGCGCTGAGAGGGAGGTCAGTCCAAGGACGGGAGCAGAAGCAGCCCCAGAAGAAAGTGAGTCTTCACCGGAGGGAAAGGCCTGAACAGGAGAACACAGACACGCAGTAGTGTATTTTCAACAAGCAGCTGGCCAGTTTTGCCAGTGACAGCAAATAAAGTTGAAAACCTCATGGCTCCTCTCTCTCACACCCCAAAAAGAACACTCTTGTACACATACTTGTGATTACTTGGCTTTTTCTTACTGGCAGATTAGCTTAAAAGGACACAGTCTTTAGTACAATTTCAAGGGGTGGGGAACCCGAACTTAAAATTTGTTGCCAGTTTTTCCTTCTGGCCATTTTATTTAATCAGGATCTAGATTTACACTCCCCTCTCCCCGCCCCCCCACCACGTGATCAAGTATAAAAACTTACCGATTTACAACTTCCATTGAATGCAAAGACATGTCCATGTTGACCAGAACCGAAAAATACTCTGTGATCTGGCTTGACTGCATTAACTTCAGCAGCATTTCTATAGCAACTAGAGGGTTGTTTTCCACTAAGTCTGGAAGTTTGGCTGGAGTGAGGCCAATATGATAAACAAGTTTGGGATCTTTTTCCAATTCACCCAGGAGCTAAATAGAACCAAATTTTTAAAAAGAGAGAGGTTCTTGAGTCAAATATTCTCTTTCCCACCTACAAAAGCAAACTATAAAATTATCTACATTGAACCAACTTTGTAAATTTCTTCCCTCAAACCCATTACAATCCTGTGTTGATTTTTAGATTTACATTTAAACTGTAAAGATACTAAAATGTAGATTCCTTCAAGACTGTGAAAAAAAAAAAAAAATGCTAGTCGTCCCTTTCCAGGGCATTAAACCAGACTCCCTGTTGTCTGATTGTATAGACTACTGCGTGGATTACAACGGTAACAATCCTTAACACCTTTGTAGGCTTTTCCTATCCTCTGTTAAAACCAAAAATAATCTCTAGTTGCCAACCAGTTCTCCAGAAAAGCACAGAGAACTGGGGAAGATGGGAAACGAGAGTGCAGCCACAGGCAGAGAACAGACACTCGAAGAGAGCATGACGGGAAGAGACCACTGCCCTTTCGCGGTGCCTCACTGTGCAGGGCCATACAGTTCAGGCCCTACTCGTGACGCAATCCAAATAAGTGGTTTTTCTTAGAAATCCTCTATGCTCATTCCCCTGTCTGCATATACCACAGTGGGCTGTGTTTTAGGATGGCCTAGCAAACAAAGTGAACTACAAACAGCTGTTATTTGACTGAAACATTTTCAGTGGTACACCGGATTGGAAGTGTCAGTATGTCCTCACACGTTCTACTGTGAAAGTATGCAATGCTGGATTCACAGCATTCACAAAACAGAAACCAGCCACCAGGTATCCTTGCCCTTCCCCACCCAGGGGAGTCTTACACGAAGAATAGCAGGGGCTACTCTCAATGTCAAATCCACCACTAACCAGCTGTGTGACAGTGGCTAGCTTACCTTCCCTGGGTCTCCTTTTCTTCCTCCATAAAATGTTAATCTTGCTTACCCTCAGTAGAGTCAACTGTCCAGCAAATCTAACAATGTATGCAAAGTGCCAAAAATGTGAGATCCATCCTAACCCTCCTCTCCCAGACTCAAAACGGTCCCAAGAAAGTGGTGACACATGTTGAGTCGTCATTCTTTTTCCACCAGAGCAGAACAAAGCTCCAGAGATCCAAGACTCCTTGGATCCAAAACACTCTTCCTACTGGCTTCTATGGGCAGGATCATTTTATTGGTCATTTATCATGTGAAGGATTAAAATAAAATACCTACAATAAATATATACCTGTGTTTGTTGAGGAGAAGATAAGGGGCTTTTGAAGGCTTTGGCCATTATTCGCTTGATCTCCACACCAGTGCTATTCTTGACACACATTGATTTGTCCCATTGAATTGCATGGTCAGGCTCTGTTGGATTCAGCCAAGCCAGCTCGTCCTCACAAATGTGGAGTGGAGGTGGTGGACGAATAAACTCTGGCCGGAAATGGCCTATAAGGAGAGTAGGAATGTTTGCTTCTATCAGTAAGCTACCATCTATGCACATCTGTATAAAGATAACATGATAAAACTCACAGACTTCAAAATCCAAAGCGGAGATGATACAAAAAGTCAGGGTTTTATTCAGGATACCAACAAAATGAAATACTGATACAACATTATTATGCCAGAGACCAAATCTATTCTTCAAGAGAGGCAAAGGCATTACCGTGATCTGACGATTTTTAATTCAAGCATGATCACCACTCAGAAGCAAAATGACACAGCTTCACATACTGGTAAGAGTTCTGATGGGAAAAATGAAATGCTATTTAATCTCACTCTTCCTATTCTTAGTTAACTGCTATATTTTTTTTTTAAGTAGGCTTCCCGCCCAGTGCAGAGCCCAATGTGGGGCTTGAACTCACAACGCTGAGATCAAGACCTGAGCTGAGATCAACAGTCGAGACACTTTTAACTAACTGAGCCACCCATGAGCCCCATTAATTATTTTATTCACAGACCACTATTATTTGTGCTGGTTTTTTCTTTGCGTCTTCTAACCTTGAGGTGGCAAATTATGTGGATATGAAATGGCAGGAAACAAAAAAGTACAGCTGCCTTGACATTCCCAAATGAATCCAGAGACTTTCATAATCTCCTGAATTCACAAATCCCATATTCATTTTCATAAAACAGTAAAAGAACAATAGGAAAATGCAGTGACTCAACACTCCAACTGTTTTATGAAATAAGACTGAACCCTAAGTTATAAACCCACAAAAATAAATGCTAGTGGGGATTTTTGCTGAACAAATTTCCTAATACTCTGGGCTTAAGATGGCTTTTTCTGATCATGGGTCCTAGCCCCTGCCAAATTTGAGAATAGTTTATCTCAAGAATCACCAGTTTATCTTAAACTATACTCTCTGTTCACTTAATCTAGCATCTTCCATCTAGCATGACTAACATCATATCTCTGTTCAGACCACTTATAAAAAGAAAACTTTAAACACTCGATGAGAAGCACTACTTATGTTATAATGAAAACATTCCCGTGAGGTACATATGTTTAGTACAAATGTATCTGATTTGCTTTTCACATACCTTTCTGGTAGCTTATGCAACACAAAGTCATACCTAAGCAAATATTAAATGAAAACCAGTATGTGCCTTGGGCCTTTTAGGCACACTTTTGTGTTCAGCTTAGACTTAAAATATTAAACCCATTTATGCCAAAGATCTATTAATGGCATTAAATTCTCTTAAGTTTTAAACTCATGGTGACACTGTAATTTGGAGAACATTTTCTTATCCCTAAGGATAAAGCATGCCTTCATCATTAAAACCACATAGAAGCCTGAAACCAAAAGATGCAGCTGTGTTATTTCAAGTTCAGTAGGTGTTTTCTTTGAATTGAACTAAGAACTATAAGATCAGCAGAATTTTACAATGGAAAAGATTATGATACTGATAAGATTAATGAAGAGCTATAAAATTTAATACATTACAGAAGATTCATTTCAGCAAAATCATAATTTATATCAGGAATGCTGATAATAAAACACTTGGCATGTAATTTTATTAAAGAAGAACATAGACCATCTCTACTATGTTCTATAAGACACTATAACTAGGTTTCTCACTGAATTCAAGTATAAGCAGCAAAAAAATTAACACCATATTTTAGAAAACCAAAAGTCTCAGGATGCTGATAAAATAAAACCAAGAACAAAAAAGTAATATACCTACTTTCAATAGGTGGCTTTGGTCCACTGACTAAAGCTTCTGTGATCTGAGAGGCAACCGAGCTGTCAAATCCAGAATTAGAAGAATCTGGGTCTGGGTCACTGAGAATACTAGGGAAGCTAGCCTTACTTTGGGTTGGCAATTCAGACTGGCGTTCTGAAAAATGGTAAAATAAAAGACATTTTTAAATTGGGGGCACCACAAGGAGAGTGAAGAAATAACAAACTGGGAAAAGCTGTCTGCAACACATAATGAACATAGGGCTAGCTTCAGAATATACACCCCACCCCCCCAAATACAAATCAGCCAGGAGCTACAACACCCACGAACAAGCCAGCAGCAGCTACAGCCAGGCTCTCAGCCAGTGGTGCTGGGGGCCGTTCACACCCACCAGAGCACCCCATCAGCTGCAGACCAGTCACAACAGGAGGGTACGTACAGCCCATACAGGGGATATCCATAGTGCCAGACAGGTGATCAGGGGGTATTAAACTATTGAGCTCCACGGGCCATTTTCTACATAATGCCACTACTTTCAAGTCCAAAAGATGTAAGTGACATACCTAATATATAGAAACAAACACAGAGTTAGACAAAATGAGACAGGAGTATGTTCTGAACCTCAGAAAAGAACTAAAGGAAACATAAGCAATCTACCTGATGAAGAGTTCAGGAAATGGTCATAAAGATGCTCACACTGGACCTGAGAGAAAAGTGGATAAACTCAGAACTGAGAATAACTGAAATGAGAATAAACAGCAGAGGCAGAAGAAAGGATCAGCAATCTGCAAGACGGTGATGGAACACACCCAAGCGCAACAGCAAAAAAAAAAAAAAAAAAAAAACCAGTAATAATGAGGATAAGTTAAAGAACTTCTATGACAATATCAAGCATAACACTTGCATTATAGAGGGTCCCATAAGGAGAAGAGAAAAAGGGGAAGAAAACTCATCTGAAGTAATCATTGCTGAAAACCTCCCTAACCTGGGGAAGGAAACAACCAGCCAAGTCTAAGATGCACAGAGAACCCTACGCAAGATGAACCCAAGAAGGTCCGTATTGGGACCCGTAATTAAAATGTCAAAAATTAAAAGATAAAAGAGAATCTTAAAAGCAGCAATAGAAAAGCACATAGTTACAAGGAAACCCCCAAAAGGCTATCAGATGTTCTTTCAGCAGAAACTGCAGGCTAGAAGGAAGTGGCATGATATTCAGAGTGCTGGGAAAACCCTACAACTTGCCCCAGCAAGGTTATCACTCAGAATTGAAGGACAGATAGTTTCCCAGACAAACAAAAGTTAAAGTTATCACCACTAAACTAGCCTTACAACAACTGTTAAAGGGACTTCTATAGATGAAAAAGCAAAAGCCATAGTTAGAATAAAATTATGAAAAGAAAAAAC